AGAGGAATATCCTACATGAAATAAGAAAACGGAAGGCTAATTGGATTGGTCATGTTTTACGCAGAAACTGCCTTCTAAAAGAAGCTATCGAAGGAAAGATAGATGGGCGGATAGAAGTGACAAGAAGACGAGGAAGAAGACGTAAGAAGATGCTGGATGACCTTGGGGACAGAAGAGGATACTGTCATTTGAAGGAGAAAGCTCTAGATCGCATTAAGTGGAGGAATTGTTTTGAAAGAGACTGTGGACCTGTCATCTTGACAGATTACTGATGATGATGAACTATGGAATGTAGTTAAAAATACCTGAAATATTACATTTTTTTACATAAATTTTCTTTCTGCCCTGAGCAAGCAGTAATTATACATTAATTATGCTGATTATCATCACTGCAGCATTGACTTGGGAATACATACATACATACATACAACATACATACATACATACATACATACATACATACACATTTCATTGATCCAACATTCCTACATCGGCAGGTGAATATGAAACATATAAGGAGACATACATTGCGCAATGAAACTTGAGCAAAGAGACATAAAGCAATAATACGTACAGTTCAAAAATGACAAAGCAGTTAAATCATCTAGTATAACTAAATATGGGTATAAATACCGAAAATGAAGAGAATATGAAAGGAACTAATAATTTGATATAAACTTCTCTTAATACCTTTTCAAATTAGGATTACCTTGTGTGTAGAATTACTTTTACTCCAAATTGTTACTCCATATTTAACCAAAGAGTGAAAAAGTGTAAAATATATATTCCTCGTGGTTTGAATTTTAAGAATAGGAGATAATCTTCTCATTATAAAACAAAGTGTGTTTAGCTTAGGCAGTAAAATATTATAAGAGGCTTTCATATGCTGACTGTCCAGATGCAAGACTAAAATATATAAATTATCAGAGAACAAAAGTGAGAAATTAGTGTACATTGGGAATAATTGAGGCAACGCCAAAAAGGGTTTTTATGTGCTCAATTCTCGTCAACGTCAACTTCAACTCCCTGCTCCTCGTTAAAGTATTCAAATTCATTTACTTCCTCGTACTGCTGGTACTCAGACACTAAGCCGTCCATATTTGATTTTGCATCAGTGAATTCAATCTCATCCATCCCCTCACCTGTGTACCAGTGCAAAAAAGATTTGCGATTGAACATGGCTGTGAACTGCTCTGAGACCCGCTTGAACAGCTCATGGATGGCAGTGGTGTTACCAATGAAGGTTGCCGACATCTTGAGTCCTTTGGGTGGTATGTCACAAACGGCAGTCTTCACGTTGTTAGGGATCCACTCAACAAAGTAGCTGCTGTTCTTGTTCTGGATGTTCAAAATCTGTTCATCAACTTCTTTCATGGACATGCGTCCTCTGAAGACAGTTGTAACTGTGAGGTAACGGCCATGCCTTGGATCACAGGCGGCCATCATGTTCTTGGTATCGAACATTTGTTGAGTTAGTTCGGGTACAGTCAGGGCTCGGTACTGTTGGCTACCACGGGAGGTGAGAGGAGCGAAGCCGGGCATGAAGAAGTGGAGACGTGGGAATGGGACCATGTTGACAGCAAGTTTCCGGAGATCAGCATTCAGCTGACCTGGGAACCTGAGGCTAGTGGTCACACCAGACATTGTGAGAGAAATTAGATGGTTAAGATCACCAAATGTGGGAGTTGTGAGTTTCAGGGTCCTGGAGCAAATATCGTAGAGAGCCTCATTGTCAATGCAGTATGTCTGGTCGGTATTTTCAAGAAGCTGATGGACAGACAATGTCGTATTGTAAGGTTCAACGACAGTGTCTGATACCTTTTGTGAAGGTATGATAGAGTATGTGCACATTATCCTGTCTGGGTACTCCTCTCTGATTTTGGAAAGAAGCAATGTGCCCATGCCAGAACCAGTTCCACCTCCCAAGGAGTGAGTCAGCTGGAAACCCTGAAGACAGTCACAGGTCTCCGCTTCCCTCCTTACCACATCTAACACAGAGTCGACCAGCTCAGCCCCTTCAGTGTAATGACCCTTAGCCCAGTTGTTGCCAGCACCACTCACACCATAAACGAAGTTATCGGGTCTGAAAATCTGACCGAACGGTCCGGAGCGGACAGATTCCAGTGTGCCGGGTTCAAGATCCACCATTATGGCGCGGGGTACATAATTTCCACTAGATGCTTCACTGTAGTAGACATTTATCCTCTGAAGTTGAAAGTCGGAGTCACCATGGTAGGCGCCAGTTTGGTCGAGACCATGCTCATCAGAGATGACCTCCCAGAACTGGAGAGAAAAAAAAACATAAGATGAACTTCATGTCTACCAAACAGTCAATCATAAATCTAACAATTTCCACATTTGTTAATGTATTCACTTAATTTATTTTTGCTTAGGTTTGACCATGGGTTTGAGACATCCATAGCACAACTTGGACTGTCTCGCAAATATTGCTGAATATTACCAGAATAATATTCTTGTAAATGTCGGAAAAAATGAAAAAGTAACAAAGGTGGATGTTAAAGACCAATACTATTTCCTGGAATTTTCACCTGCTTGCATGGGTCGTATTCCAATGCTGAAATCATTATCTATACGTACGCATTCTCAGTTTAACCAGCTCTGTAATCTGTCCCAACAGTTTTATTAACTCCATTTTATTACATTTATGGGATAATGGGATTACATTATTGGGGATCATCAGTGTGGGTTTCGAAATAACTGATCAACTACAGATCAGATCTTTTGCATTCGTCAGATACTGGAGAAAAAAAATAGTACGATGAGACAGTACACCAGCTATTCATAGACTTCAAGAAAGCTTATGATTCGGTTAGGGGGGAAGTATTGTACAATATTCTGATAGAGTTTGGGATACCCATGAAAGTAGTTAGGTTGATTAAAATGTGTTTAAACGAAACGTATAGTAAAGTCAGTGTAGGTCAACTTTTGTCTGTTAAATTTCCTCTCCAGAATGGTCTAAAATAAGGAGATGCTTTATCGCAATCCTTTTCAACTTCGCTATAAAATATGCCATTAGGAAGGTTCAAGGAAACCAGTTGGACTAAAATTAAACAGGACACATCACCTGTTGACCTATGCTGATGATATGGATCTACTTGGTGATAAGGTAGATACCATAAAGAGAAACACACAAACTTTAATTGACGAAAGTAAAGAGGTTCGTCTAGAAGTAAACACGGAGAAAACTAAGTGTATGTTACGGTCAAGCCACAAAATGCAGAGCAAATTCATGACGAAAGATAGGAAACAGATGTTTTGAAAATGTGGCACAGCTCAGATATTTGAGGACAATGGTAACAGGTCAATACCTGATTCAGGAGGAAATGAAGGGAAGATTGAACTCTGTTAAAGATTGTTACCATTCAGTCCAGAAACTTCTGTCTACGCGTCTGTTGTCAAAAACTATAAAAATTATAATATTCAAAATTATAATTTTGCCTGTGTTTCTGTATGGGTGTGAAACTTGGTCTTTGACATTGAGGGAGGTACATAGACTGAGGGTGTTTGAGAACATTGTATTCAGGAGAATATTTGGACCGAAGAGAGATGTAGTGAGGGGAGGTCGGGGAAAACTGCACAATGAGGAGCTTCATAACTTGTACTCATCTCCTGTTATAATTAGAATGACCAAGTTAAAGAGGATGAAGTGAGTATGTCATGTAGCACGAATGGTGGACACAAGGAATACGTATAGGATATTGATGTGAAAGCCAGAAGCAAAGAGACCACAGGGAAGACCAAGGCGTAGGTGGGTGGACAATATTAAATGGATCTTAGAGAGATAGGATGGGATGGTATGGATTGGATAGATCTGGCTCAGGATATGGACCAGTGGAAGGCTCTTCTGAACACGGTGATAGAGCTTCAGGTTCCATAAAATGCTGGGAAATTCTGTAGCTGTAGAATTGGCGGCTCCTCCAGAAGGGCTCAGCTCCATGAGTAAGTAAGTAATCAAAAGTTCTTTCTTGTGTTAATCATAATATTGTGACGTGTTTGGGCTATGCAGGACTCCCGCTCCCCCACCAGCGCTGCCGCTGCTACGGTAACAGGCCAGTTGACACTCGGCCTCCCTCCCCCTCAGTGACGTATCAGCACTTCCAACTGTGACGTAACACGGGACACCGCTGTTGACACAGGCAACAGGGAACGGTATAAAATGCCTGCTGAACAGTATATGAAGAGAGAGTGTGATCAGGAGTGACACAGTGCGGATCGTGAAGTCGCCGCTTGCAGCAGAAGTCTAGCAGTAGCCGAGAGCTGTGGATGTAATTGTGATACTTACAGATGGCAGTAATTGTATTTGTGAATTGTGTGAGACCAAGTGTGCAATAAATTCGCTATATTCAATACGGCGTAAAGTTATTTGTCACGTGACATACACAAAACGTGACAATATCTTTTTATTGAAATTAATTTCTATGGAATAACTGGATAAAGTCCCATTTCAAGACAGGTGCACAAAAGTGGAGATAAAAATAAAAAATTGCGGTGCCAATGCGTTCTAAAATTTGGGAATTATAGAACACATTGTTTGGCAGGTATCAATAGAGTCCCCTTATATTTTCTTCTCTATACAATCGATTTACCAAAAAAATCTAACCATATTGTATTTGCAGATGACATTACATTCCAGCTCCTTCAGTTCAAGACTCTTCCAACCATTCTGAATGCATATTGGTACCTAAAGAACCGCAGGTTCATGAAGATCTCCAAATCACCTCAGTGCTCAGTGAAATAAAAAGTGGAGTTTAAAAGAAAACTTAAGACAATTAGAACACCAAACCGAAACTATAGCAGTTAAACTACAAGACATTAGCGAAACAATATGAAGACTGGAAATTTACAGCGCTCTTTCTGTACCAGACAGCCCTGAGTAAAACACAAGTAGAAGACTGAAATGATAACTAAGTGATCAAGAGAGAGAAGTACATGAATTACGCCACTGTGCATAACCCATTCACAAGCTACTACTTATTGAACAAACATTTTTACTGCTGATTCTGCAGATTATGTGTAATAAATGTATAAACAATAAAAAAGTAATAGAAAGAAATTAAAAAATCAAATACATAAGAAGACAAAACTGAACACGCCCAAATAACCTACTAAGTTATATGAACTACGATTCTTTTAGAAGGTCTTTAATATCTCCCATATATACAACATGTGTAAATCTTTACCTTAGCTCCAATCTGATTGCCGCACTGGCCAACCTGCAAATGTACAATTTCCCTCATTTTGTTCTGTCGCCTCTTCTACAAATATCGAATTCTGATCGGTGCAAGCAAATTGAAGTGAACTGGTCTGCAAAAGAAGCGGCGTCCTATCTGTAACCTATCTAGTTAATTTTCAACTGCTTGAATGACAGATCCACGTATTCGTCTAATTTGCATATATCCGGGACTAATCGCATGAAGTACATCGTTTCCATGGTTTTTCCTTTATTTGATTCAATGCTCCAACAGTTCTCCTATTGTTGCGTATTGTTTCATTGAATTGAAAACGGGTTTATACTGCTGTTTCATAACAATAGCTGGTATTTATAAGAGATTATTTCTAGGACTGGAATTATTTATGTAACAGAAATTGGACTTCATTAATTCTGTACAATACCTCACTTCTTTGGGTGAATTTAATTGTGCTCCCCTGTCATTGGCTGCTTACATAAACGATTTATCAAAATTATCAATAAAAATTGAAACATATAAACTTTAGATCTCAAGATATATGGATAAATACCGTCTTAAGTGCAACAAATTTTTATTGTAGTTTTTACTTCTTTTCCTCCTCCACACTACATGTTTCGGCCCTAAATGGCCATCATCAGGTGTGTATCACTCACGTAGCTGTTACACTGCTTTTTAAAATTTAAAATTACCAGTCTTTCTAATTGTATAAAATCTTTGTTAATCTACACGCGTCGATTTGATTTTTAAATTAGCACTTTTTAAAACTTAATTCAAGTTAAAATGTCTATAAGATCTCTGTTCTTTCTTTTTCAA